AGCTGCGGCACTACCCGAGACCAGGTCAGCTTTGATCTCAATGCCCTTTTCTATTGGGGGCATTTGACTAAAATTAAATTGTCCGGGTGCTTCACAAGCACCCGTTTCTTTTCTTTATGGCCATTTTGCAGCAAATGACATTGTGCTGATGAGGCAATGTGTCTGCATGTAAAATATTGCGCTGTCACTGTTTCTTCTCAGACCTGTCGCTTACCGGTTATGATTCTTCCCTGCGGGTGCATTATTTCTAAGATCTACAAGTGACACTGAGTGAAAGTACTGCTCTCCTTATTGCAGTTTTCTTAACAACATGCAAAATGACTTTGTTTCTTTCAGTTGGCCAAGTCCAGCACTGAAGGCAAGATTCAAGTCCCAGACCATCGCTGCTGGCCTTCCAAGTGCTTCAGTGTATTCTAATTCAGGAAGAAATAGTCCCGTAACAGGAAGTCCAGGAAAATACGGCAATGCCGCCTCGTTCTCTCCAGACCCCGGCAGTCCTGGGCGCTACAGTCCAGCGTGTGTCAACCAGGCTCTGTTAAAACTGCGTTATTTTTCAGAGCCTCCGGCCCACTAAAATAGGATTCATCCTCCTGGGACTTCAATTGTATTTTCATTGTTAGAGTGGAGGAAAAAACTACAATGTTACTGAAGTGACATGAGGTTTGTACTTGGCTATTTATTTTTCCTCAATTGAGGACAAGTGTATGTTAAAAAAAAAAAAGGAATATATGTCTTTATGCCATATACAAGATAGATTACTGGTGATACGCAAGAAGTTAGTGACAGTCAGTGCAGTTGTCCAGTAGCTCTGAATTAACCCTTGTTGCCAGTAAAGCAGCGAGCTGAAGCTTTACTTAGAAATGGTGGTATTTTGCTATCACCAGTTGTCATTATTGTGATGAACCCGTTAGCCCTCAACTGCATTTCTTTTGCTTGGGTCGTCTGGAGGAAGCACATCATCGGTAAACAGAAACCTTACTGAGGGTAAATTGATGGCAAGAAATAAAACGTTCTTCCCCTTGCAGGGGGAATGCTCACAGTGAAAAGCCTAAAACAAAGCCTGGGTAACAACAGCTTTCCAGTACTGGGTGTGAATGTGGAACCCTGTGCGTGAACAGACAGTGAGTGTTCAGAGCCAGCAGTTTGGTCTAGACAGTGGAATACACAGACACACACACTCTCTCTTAGATATATGTGTGTACGTATGCACGTATTTACACCGAAAACCTTGAGTCGTTGCTTGTTCTGAGGCTGTTAAAAACACCGTGATACACGGAGTGGTCTAGTAAAAGGGCACTATAGAAACTACTGGTATTCCTTTAAATGTTAGTCTGAAGATTAAAAAAAAAAAACCAGCAGGTTTTTTTCCTACAGAAGCTTTTAACATTAGCAGATTTAATAGGTATTACACAAAAGCACATCAGCAATAATTTCAGCAAATTTACCAGCAAGATACCTTAACGGTCTCGTTTGTAATATATTAGAGTGGTAGCCAGTGACTCATGATGTGGCTCCTTATTTCCCAACTGTAGAGAGAGGAATAAGGACTAAAAATATTTTTATTGGAATCTAAGCTTTTACTGTGTCTCTAGTCTTGATGTGGTAATGAGGTTTTGTTACAGCAGTCAGTAGTTTTATTCTTTAGCCTTCTGTAAGAATGACTTGTTTTGACGGTACGATGCTGAGATTGAAGAAAGCTCAAAACTCCAAGGCGGTTTTTCATATCAAGCTTAATGTTGCTTGAAAGAAGGCTTCCAGAAACAGAGTTCTCCAGCGTTGCGTTGCTAACTTGATAGTTAAAAAAAAAAAACCAAACAAACAAAACCACCTCCCTATTGTTCTGACGTAAATCTGATCAGAAAATCAAAATCGGCCAGGGCTGTGCTGGTACAAAGGGGTGGATTTGGATTCACTGGTGCCACACAGAGTGAGAGAAAGCGTGGAACCTCCTTGGACGGCCGTAAGCTCAGCGTGTGCCTCGGGCCGGAGGGTGCAGGGCCAGCGCGGTCGGTCCATTTACCGCCTGCGGGTCTCGCCACGACAGAGCCTGGATTTCAGCATCCAGGGCTCGATCCGTTTGATGGCTGTCGCGTGCTGGGGAGTGACTGTTTCGTACACAAACTGTACACCCTTCAAGAGGTTGATGATTTGGTACAAACCTAAAAAACTGCACTTAATGCTTTTGCAAGCTTAATAGTGCCTTTTGTAACATATTTTTTTAATTAAATTTTTGTTCTTTTAGAAGTTTAAAAAAAAAAAGTGGCATCCACTTACTATGGGCACATAAAATACAGTTTTTCTTCTGGGCTGTCTGAACAGAACGTATTTTAATGTCTCCAAGTTTGGTTATTTGGTGTGATAGCTCTCTGCTGTTGGAGAATATTCCTCTTTTAGGAATTATTTTTAAAAAAGGCTTATTTACTCTTTCTTTATCATAAATTAAGCCTATTTCCAATGAGCTGGACATTAAAAGAGCTACTTCACACAAGTGACTGTCATCCAGTGATAATCCAGACAACCAGCTGGGGAGAGGAGGGGGGGGGTTGTTCTTTAAGAGACATTAAAAACCCCCAAACCCTAAGCATAACCTGCTGTGTTACCCAGTATATTAACTGACTTTTTCCTACATTTTTTTTTGGTCTCTGTGGTCTCAAACAACTTTTTTAGGTCCCAAATTCCTACAGCTTTACTTTAAAGGGTTTTGGGGGTTTTGTTTGGAGTGGGGGGTTGTCTGGTTTTGGGGTTTTTAATAATTCAATGTAAATGATGTCTTTGTCATTCTGGAGAAGTTCTTCAGATGATGAGTAATGGCCTAATACCACGTTGAAGCCAAATTCCTGTGGCGAGTTGCTGCGCGTGTAGCTGCTGTTCTCCACCCTGGTCCTTCTTGAGCTGTCACAGGGTGACGTTGCCCTTTTGGTAAGAGTTTGGTACAGAGCCAGGAGACTGATACTAACGCTCTAGCTCTTTTTGCTTTTTGCCTTTGTTATGCTTCGCTTTCTTTTTTTAATATTTAAATGTGTATTACTGGTATGTACATGTAGACAGCGACACCCCACCCACTGCCACCACCACACCCTTGCCCTTCACGTTGTAATTTTGTTCGGTCAAGAGAATATTTTTTTTAACTGTTATATATAATGTGCATTAGTCCCGTTGTACTGCATCTTAAGAGGTAATTTTTCTAACAATATATTTACTTCAGCTATTAAAAAAAGTAGCAATTTATGTAGCGATTTGATCATTCATGATTGTGAGGAAAGCTCTTCCCCACCGAGCCTGTGGAGACACTTTAAATCAGATTGCTATTGCTTGAATTGTGTTTTCTTGGCCAAAAGTTCACTTTTAAAGGTGCAAAAGATTAGTTGTGGGTTGGTTTCTTTTTTCATTAGCCAAGTATCATGTTACAAATAGAGTTAACCCACTTTCTATTCAAAAATAAATGAGTAGCTAAAAGTGTCACACTGTGTTTAGTGTATGGGGCAGGGCGGCAAGCAGCTGGGTTGATAACGGATGTGTCCAGACCTTACTAACGCAACTCTGCCCGCCTTCCGTGGGTGTGCGCACAATGACCTTGGATTATGCCACTGAAGACTTGAAGAACAGTCTCAACATGTTGGAGAGAGAGGAACTCTGAATACTGTGAAAATTATGTACGTACTTAATTTTAAGTTTCAAACTTCCCCCCCAACTTAAGTGCCACCGAAAATCTTCATTTCCGTGCAAAGAGGTGGCGTGTGTCCTCTGGCTGCCCACCAGGAACCTGGTTAATGGGGGGGGTGTAGAAGGGTGAGGGTATGTGAGAGGGCACGCGTACGCACACGTGAGATGAAAATTCCGTGTGTTTTTATCTTACTAACTTTGGCGCTCCTGTTCCCTGTGGTGGTAACGTGACGGGCCCTTGACCTCCACAAGGCCTGGAGCCAAAGGGCTACGACTGGAGTGCGCATCCCCTCTCGTATGCGACGGTGCTCGCTGTAGATGGTGACAGCCAACTCTGAGCGAGCTGCGCTCTCAAGTTTACAGTTCAGATATTTGGAGCTAAAGGGACAAAGCAGGTAAATGAAGCGTTGCCCCAGGCAATGCGGGATACAAAGGCTGCTCCTCAGCTGGCAGAGACAGAGTCACTGCACAGCACTCCAGCCATAGGTTCTGTAGCAGCTGGTCACACAACTGTTCAACTGAAGAGGCAGGAACAAAAGACAGACCAGTTGTTTTATTCAAAACTTTTAAAAAGTTAATAGACAAAAACTGATAAATTATTCTCATTGCATCAATGAGAGAGAACATCATGATGGTTTCCTCTTGCCCCCCACAGCTTGCACTACACAATGATCATGTTTTGTTCCCTACTAGCCCCATTTTCCTTGGGATCATCCTGATGTAGCAGTCCTGTACCAAACAAGCCACTGAACCTTGTCTCGCTAGGGGTTGTGTGCTGTGGTTATGCTTCATACAGCACTGGCAGGAACGAGTTTGGGGTCTCACCAACATTCTTGGTGATAAGAGAACCTGTCAAACAAGTTTTTATGTTTGCTGTGCTAGAGTACATGCTCTACCACCAAGGCAGACTGAATATGGTGACATTTTTCAACGTTCCAGGTGTTAAGTAAGTGCAACCGGTTTGGGTGCCCAGCAAACATCCTGCCTCTGAGCCCTCCCCACAAAAATGTAACCTAGTTCTTGGCCACTCGCATTTTTCCCAGAACAAGTCCAGCAGTGTCAGAGCTGCGCAAAGGAGCCGCTTCGAGCAGTCTGTACTACCCCCTTGGCCTAGGAAAGCCATCCCACAGATACTTTTCCACCACTCGGGCAGCAGCAGTTTGCTCCAATACTGCAGAACCTCTGACCTGAAGTATCACCACCTTGAACTCAGTGGTGCTAATTTATTTCTCTGCTCTGAAAGCAAGGTATCAACATACACAAATCAGTGGGAGAAAGCAGAAATTGAAGACTACTCCTCAAAAATGTCAGTGACTGGAAGCACTTGCGGAAGATTGCTTTCCTTTCCTTCCATCCTACTGCTACAAACTCATCCCTACATCCTTCTACAGGCCAAGTTTTAGTTAAAGGCTTTACGAGACTGAAAAACATTATTCAGAATAGCTTAAAGAAAGAACTTCCTGAGGGTGGAGGAACACTTACTTACTTAATATAAGCAGCAGTTAATTCCAGCACCAAGCTCTGAGGCAAATGGGTTTTTTACCCTCTTTGCTTTATGCTTACAACCTCCAGGCATAGTTTACGTGAGCTTTTTGGGGGTAGAGGGGAACAGTGACGCAACATAAACATACATCTTCAACAGCTTACAAAAACTGAAGCCTTATCCCTTTGTCCTTTGAACAGCAGAATACCCTGTTTGTCACTTCTGTGAGAGCTGGAACAAGCTGGCTCATCTCCAGTTTTAGCTGCAGCGTGATACAAGGCCGTTCCTTCCAGTTCCCCACCAATTGCTTTCCTGCACAAGAAAAATATCCACAGGAGCAGCTGTGGTGTTTGTTAGTAATTCACGGGGCCGGGGCGGGGGGGGAAGTCAGTGCTCTTGCAACTGCTGAGCACACAGACATTCAACCTCCTTGTATTCCACAGCTCAGCTTTGAGTTTTGGGGAATACTTGAGGATTGGGCAGCTTCAGGCTTACAAAGATTTCTTCTTTTCTGGACTGAAAGGCAGATACAAATATGTATGAAGGAGGCAAAAGGCTAAAGGACATTTTTAAGACAGCATCACACCCCAACATAACAGATAAAAACCTAGTGGTACTGTAGCTGAATGTACTAGTGCAAAGAGACTAGAGGCAGCTCCTGGACAGCCACCAGTTTTGCTCATTCAGGTGCGTGTGATTTTATCTGGAGGCATGAAACCTGTGTCACCCAGCGTTCGAAGTGCCACTCTTCCATTCGGACGTATCACCAAGTGAGTTATACTGCCATTGTTAAGAGACATTCGCAGCCAGCCTTCTGGGGGGAACTGCAATGCTCTATTAAAAAAAATAAAAATTATTATTAATTCATAAACAGTTATAACACCATGCCGCTCACAGCATCACCTGTTCCAGATAAGGAAAAAAAAAAAAAGGAAAATTGTTGGTCATTCTGTAGCTTGCATGCAAATGCTCCCACAGTCAGCCCTGGAAAAAATATTTCTCTTGTGCAATTGATATGAAAATGCAGCATTGATAACTGGACCAGTGCCAACAATGCACCTGCATAAGCAGAGTCCAGCAGATGGGTATGATTATTGTAGACAGGATTAATTCAAAATCGACAGAAGGTAGAAGCTCCAGCGTAGTCAGGTTGCTGGGAACGCTCTGAGCAACCTCGTAACAAACAGGACAATAGAGGCATAGGTTCAAGCTGGTCACTGCGCCAACTGCGGTAGTACCACAAAACCCTGGGCGGTCCAGGAGAGGTAGAGAAGATGGCTCACCACCCCAACGGGCCTCCTCCGCAGACCAAAGGCGAGTGGCAAACAGCATGCTTCTACGCACTATTTCAGCCTTACCAAAATAGGTAGGTACGTTAACAACAGCAGCGAAGAGGCAATGAGATAGGATTCATTCCACCTCTCTGTATGTGCCTATGGAAGAAATTCACCAGAACTACTTTCCGTCAGCTATATTGATCCCCAGAAGCGGCAAGAAGAAGTACCTTGTGCTTTTTGTAGAACCAGTATCACAGCTAGTCTCCAGCTATTCTAAAATTCCTGACTGAATAGCCTCAGAAGTTCAATCAATCGTAGTAAACAGCTGGAGAAAATATGAAGTTGTCTCAAACATCTTTTGCCTCAATTACCGAGGAATAACTTGGTTTTGGTTCTATGAGTGTCTTTTAGAAAGGCTAAGAAATGAAGTAACAGCTACAGCCAAGCTAGATTCAAAGGGAACGCTACATGGATTGTGTTCAATTGTGGTATCAGATAGCCTGGAATGGAAAGCACAGAAGAGAAGTTAAAAAGAAGAGGGAAGAAACAGCAAAGAGAAAAAGTATACGGCTATTTCAGAAAAAGCCTAGGTAGCAGCAAGATGATCTCTTTTGGCACAAGAAAGAACATTCTGTTTATCATTCTGATCAATGATACTAAGTATAGCAATTTTGAAGAGCTCTAAAGCAGTCCGCAGAGCAGACAGGCTAGCATTTAACTAGCTCAGCTAAATAAAGCTAACTGAAATTGTTGTAGGTATTGATCAGATTAAAGTTTAATCACATCTGTCCTGCTCGAGACAAATTATCTTACAGACAGTGCTTTGTTGATAGGGAAAAGGAATAAAACAGACTAAGCTGACTGGATACAGGGAAGGCAAAGATCCAGAACTGTTTTCTCCTTCATGAACAACCTTGATGTTAGCGGGAAGATCCACTCTCCCCTCTAATCCAATACTGGATGTTACTGCAAAACCACACTAATACAACTGGAACATAATACAAAAATTTCCATTAGTAAAGAATTCCCCAAACTAAATCAATCTTTCATTATGTAAGATCAAATTCACATCATCTCAAAAAGTCAGATCCAGTCAGATGCTCTATTTGTTGTCTTTTCCACCAGTCCACACAGGCATTGTCCTCAGGTTTATGGGAAGCAGAAGCGTACGGTATTAAAGAGACTGTTCAGATGTACAAAAAGGTTTCGAGTCTCACCAATTTCACCATTTTCACTTTAGAATTAGAATAAAAGTGTTTAATTTTCAAATTTGTCCTCTATCTGCAAATTAATCCTGTGATGAAATTGCAGAAGCAGCTGCTCACAACGCAGGCACTGATCTCCAACCACCCCAAAGAAGCCAAATCAACACATCTCCTCGCTCAGCGGCGCCATACACCATCACTATTTCAGTGAAACTATGACCTCTTAAAGAACACAGATGAACGTGCAAGCCAACACGTACCTGCACACAATATAGCGGATCACGTTGGCATGGCAGACGAAGATCTCGTAGCTGTCTTCTTCCTGCTTTGCGTCAGCTCTATGAATGAAGTTTCGAAAAGCAGCCTCAATTCGAGCTCCATCTTCGTAATACTGCTAATGGCACAGAGTTCAGAATTAAACACAGCTCAGAGCAGCATGTGCCATTGTCTGCATTTGCAGATGGGCTGCGTCTTCTAGAGTTCTTCTTTACAGGGATGCACACTTGAGGCTGAACTAATACTTAAGGATTTTAACTTATTTTAACTGTTCTGTACACTTATTGGGGGTGGGGGGAGAAAAGAATGCAATTATCTAAGGTCTGTGATGAAAAGCATCAGCTCAGACACTGCAAGTTATCGCTACAGTCAATATAAAGTACACTAAAAAACCCCAAAACAAATACAGAAAGAAAAAAAAAACACCAAAACTTTAAGTAAAAAGTTACCACAGCTTCCGGTTTCCAGTGAGAGACCGGAGGGTCTGGTTCTATAGGTGCTCCCTCTCTCAGCAGATCAGTACTAATTTTTTTGACTCCTGAAACATTAAATACATATTCAGAAAGGAGTTGTTACTTCACCTGCCACTGCAAACAGACCCACAACTCTACAATCAATACATTTTTCATATTCTTTCTTCAAGGAGGTCTTCCTCTCCTTCCTAAAGGCCATTTTAGTCTACACAATTCCTATCAAGGGGGGTGAATCTCTCCAACACAACTGTTTTGTCATCAGCAAGTTTATTCCAGCTGAGAACAGCCAGACCAGCTTGGCACAGCAAGTCAAGTCTTCCCAGTCTGCTGCACTTTGAAGAAACGCCCTTGCAAGGGTGTTACTCTAAAGCTGTATGTCAGTTAATGCTTACTGCTAATTAACGTTAATGCTACACTTTAAAATACTAATATAAATATTAAATATCAAATCTCTTACTCTGAAGAAAGGAAGATGGTTTAGGTGGGGGTGTTGTTCGGTTTGGGGGGGTTGTTTGAGGGTTTTTGTTCTGTTGGGTTTGGGTTTTTCTTTGAAGCAGCACATTTAAGAAAACAAACACAGAATGGTTAAGAGAACTAACATTCAGCTAGTCGTACCTCAATATCTGCTAAAATACCAGACAGAATAATATATAGTCAAATATCTTTAGCTTAGATTCTGGTATGTCTGAATGGCAGGAGAAAAAAAAAAACAAAACCAAACCAATAAAACAAAACAAACACCAAAAAACACAACAACCCAAAAACCCATATAAACACAGTACCCAAAACCCCATATAAACACAGTATCCACATTAAGAAATCCCTACACCTTTGTGAGCGTGCCACATCCTCCCCTGCACATAGGATAGCACAGCACACAAGAAGGGCCTCTTAACTAACCCAGCAAGCATCCCTGCAAGAACTGGGGTTTGTGATCCTCTTCTCTCCTGCGCTATTGCCCCCCAAGACTGAGGACTGAGCCAATCCTGATGACCTGTGACAGTCTTTGCTTTACAAAATGCGTAAGTGAAGAGCAACCAGCAGAGTTCTCCCCCACAGCAGTACATACAGGTAGCAGCTAGTCACTCAGAGGGGCAGATCCCTCTTGTATTTTGAAAGATGAACTAGAAACAAGCGCAATTAGGATTGTTAGTTTCTTTATAAATATAGACACATTCACACAGGGCTGGAACTTGGCTAAATAACATCTCAACCTTAAGGACAAGCTTAGAATTCTATTGGAAGCAGTTTTAAGGATCAGAAGGCAATGAAAAATTACAGGAAGTCACCTACCTGGGAGATGTTTGCTTATAATTTCAGTTGTTTCAGTTGCTCTAGTCATGGAGGAGTGGATAATCTGATCAAATTTTATTCCCAAACTTGCCAGCCTTTGTCCAGTCAGTTCAGCCTGCTCTCGACCTTAAAAATGATATTCACTATATAAATTGGTGACACTCATGTAAGCGCCTCACACAAACTACCAGATAAGTTGTCTGGTAGACATAAAAGGTCTCCATCGATGTCAGTTTTTTTCCTTTCAAAAGTAATTGGAAAACATTTTTGCCAGAGTCACTACTTACTCAGATTAAGCTTATTGGCTGGACAATTTCAAGTCGTATTTCCATTGGCAGGAAAAATCAGTTGGTTTTTTTTTTTAATTTAAAAGAAGGAAAAAATCTCTCTCTATCTCTCTCTCAACTTATTCAGACACTTTCACTAAAGTATTTAATATCCCTGCTAGCCCCATCCCAAGGGAGCCACTTCCAATAAAAGACAGTGCTGACCCGAGCCATCTGCCACCTCTATGTTCTGGGAGCATAAAGAGGAGACTGTGTCAAACAGATCCACCCAGACCTGACTGCATTTGTCATAAAGGCAACATCGTCTTGGAACAGTTAAGAACCACAGAACTTGGGTATCGTAGGGAAGGCTTTATTCCATCTTTCAGGTAGGTAGGTGAAACGACAACAGACAGTTTAAGTAACTTACCCAAGGCACAGGATGAGACAGGATTAAGATTATGCTTTGTCACCACTTTAAGATAGCACCTTAGTCCTGAAATTAGCATTTCACTCCTGTTTGCACACTGGTGATTACGACTTGGGGGGGAGGGGGGAAAGGTGTTTTATGCTAAACAGTTGGCACCAGACTTCCAAAACCTCAAGCAGCACTGCACAACAATTCTTCCCCCCTCAAAACAGTGTTGGCATACATATAAAAAAGCAGTGAATACTTTCTTGATAAGTACACTATTGAAATAATGCTAATTAACATCTGAGATCTAGTCACAGGATCAATGAAATAAGATTAACACAGACAGAAGTTATCCTCGTTTCAAGTAACTGATTAGCAGTATTCCCAGAAACAGTGCTTAGTAGCAAAAGTGAAATGTATTTCATTATAAACATTCCAGCTGAAAGTCAGGTTTTTTATAAATCAGCAAATTATCTAACAGAAACACAAACCACCTTTTAAGAGAAATCTATCCCAAAGTTAGTCATGGGAGCTAAGTTTAAAAGCTTAGCCTTGGAGAATTGTGTCAGCTAGCATGAAAATTTTCTCAAGCAACCTTAAGATAATTGGAAATTTCCTTTGTGAAGTCTCTTTACAACTGAGTGTGTTTAGAAGTCTGTAAAGCACGTTTTCATGTTTCAATTTAGAGGATCAAAGCCAGAAAAAAACAAACTTATTCATGACATCTTTCTGCCACAAAGGATCCAGAAAGCGGATTAAGGTTTGGCAGTGAGACCCAGAACAGAGCTGAGTTACTGACCTGTACTCATCAGGTCAGCAGCACGTAAAAACCAATCTTCTCAAAATGCAAAGTACGATGGTTCTAGTAATACATACCAAGTGGGGTCAGAGTTCTGTCTTTATCAGCCCGGCCATCCAAATTATATTGAGAATGACGGATAAGGAATATGTGCCTGGTGGCTTTTGCTTTGCAGTGATCTAAGCGTGAGGCAAGTTCTTCTTCCCCAGTTTCTTCATTTTTCTTTTTGAGGTTGATAAGAGACAGTGGTTCACGTCTAAACAAACACATTTAAAATGTCATTTTTAGATAGGGGAGATTAAAAGCCAGAGGAATTTTACAGATGGGTAGTCTTGTCTTAGTTTTAGATATAGCTGAAGTACTAAAATTGACTATTTAGCCATTTATATTGCAAGACTGATTCAAACCGTTGTGCAAGAGCTATAAATAAAAGCCTGCATTAAAAAAACAAGTTAATGCCGTAAGTTAAAAGCTGTAACTCACACAGATAAATTTGCTGTTTAGCAACAGCCACCTTGCAATTAATTCTTTGGGGAAAAAAAGCAACAAACGCAAAGAAAAAGTTAAATCCTAATGCAAACAGATGGTGTACACTAAAACATACAAAAGCTACAGTCTGTCTGGACAATAAGATTATAAACACCAGCAGAGACTTTGTATTTTAATTCCTGTCGATTCAATAGTTGTTCTTGGGATTTTCACTGATTTTCAGTCACAGGTATAATGCTAGGTTTTCTGACAAGAAAAACTAACCACGAAGGATACTCAGGAAAAGAGGAAGAGGTATTGACTGATCGTAAAGGAAAGAAAATGTTCCATATCTAAAAGGCCCTGTGATAACACCTACAAAATTTGCACTTTATCAATCACATTTATTTCAAATAACTAAAAGAAACCCCCCAACAATATCCTAGAAAGACTCCAACTTCCTGCAGCGCACATTGAGAATTATTTTGTGCTTTAAACTAGGTCACATCAGGCCTCTCCAGTAGCACTTTTTTATTTTTCATCCTGGAGCGCGTGTTTATCCTTTCATCTTTTTCATCACTCACTCTCCCCTCATGCCACTTTAATCTTCCATTTTGTCACACTGCACACGAGTCTCCCTTTCTGCATACCATAACCCTCTTGCACATCACCCAGGCAGTCGATCCGGTTCCTCAAGAGGACACCAGGCACGGAGGATCTTCCCCTCCCTTGCCCAGTATCACAGATTAGTGCCACAGATTTCTCGCTGCCGACACCAACACTGCACTGTCACCATCGACCCTGTCCAAATCTGCCACAGATTAGTCTTCTGGTCCCCTTTCTGCACTGATCCTCTACCCCATTAATACAAATCCTTTTGCTACGTCTCTCCACCTCGGAGCGTAAATCCTTTCCCTTGATCTCATACCTAAAGAACAGTTAATTTATTTAATTCATAGCAGATCTCACGTCTTCCATTATTATAATTAAACTTGTTTATTTGTTTGTAGATTTTTAATCAATAATATAATTTTTATCTAGTTTGAGACAAAGTAACTTGGTCATAGAAAACTGCTGCTTCACATACCTATTTTTACAGTTCACAGCAAGGCTGGCTTTAAAAAGCCCTGCATTCACTTTGCTTTAGTAAAGACGTGATTAAACAATGAGGCTCAACACATTCCTTAAGCTGTTGACAAAGTTCAGCAAGGCATTAAAAATGAAACAATAGTCCAATAACAGGAAGTTCCATTGCTATTTCACAGGATACTTCTTTTGATTCACTAGAAACTGTATTGCTGGAAAGATACATTAGGAAAATAGAAAAAATGTCTGAAAAATTCAAGCACATTTGTACAGTAACGTAGGGGTTAATTCATCCTATGGCAGAAACACCTAACAAGAAACACCTGAGTGCCCTCTCCCCCCCAGCACCTCTGAAGTTACTCGAGGGTTAACATGCGCTTTGAAAAGCAACAGATGCTTTAACAAGTCATGAGAAGATAATCAAACTTAACAATATTTTTAAGATAAGCTAGTTTTAGGAAGTTTATGAGCAGGAAAACTTCTAATACTGCTAAGACTTAACTTATGTAGGTTCTTTTAGGCCACTGACACTCAGAAGCTGACAAATGCAGTTTTCTGCATTCCCTTATAAAAAAAATCACCCAAGATCATAGCTGGACAGAACTTTGCTAAAAAGCAATGGCAAAGTCAGGGACCATCTTTAAACCTAACTACAACAAAAGTATCACTTAATCCATGACAGTGCCCTTTTCACCTTTCTTCCAGGAAGCCCTGCATGTCATTGGAACGTATCATCAGTCAGCCTGACAAATGTTTTCATTCTTGTAACATACTTCGAAATCCAGATGTTTCTAGTTTTATTTCTAATAAAACTATTTGCAAGAACCACTCAGAAAATATAGGAAGGTACCTGAATCCCAGAAATTTAGACTATAATTCAAAGATTTTTTTCTCCCCCTCCCACACCAAGCTTTCCAGTTAACAGAAGCTTAATTAGAACAAGTATTTTACATGAATGAAACTACATCTAGTCTTCTCCAAGAACTGAGCCGTACAATTCCTGTGCAGGCGGCACAGACCAAGGCAACATCCCAGGTTTGAAAACAAAATACTTGCATTCTTTTGTTTCAAACCTGAAAAGCCATCAGTTGTTAAGAATATTGTAATATCTGTTTATTTGCTCACGACTGACTTCCCCGCCCCCAAAGAGAAGTGGTCAGATGCTCTGTGTACTTATAATCCGTTAAAAAACTTTACATGTTAAGTGTTTCTGCCAATGTCGTCCAAAAGTAAAAATTAAGACTTCAACCAGGTATAGCCAAAGCCATACCACACCAACTGGCAGACATCAAGCAGCAGAAAACTAAAATTGATCTGTGACAATATATGTGCATAATACACTTCCACTGTTTGCACACTATGATGAATGGTGATATAGTACAACATCCTTAACTGCTATTAAGTGTTATCTAGCTATATTTGTTCAGGCAATTGTGACAGCTACATCAGTTATAGAACAATCTCTACCTCCTGAATTTAAAAAAAAAAAAAAGTTACACGAGTCTGAAAGTACTTTAGAATCCCTGAAGAAAATCAACCATTCAGCAGAACCAAAGGCCTGTATCTGCAGTTAAACAAGTAGCTTTAGTACCCCACTCCATGCAACTGTGTAACCAAGTATAACCTTATTTAATGAAAGTTTTATTTTTATAATCAGAGTGTACAGAGCCCTATTCATGAGCATTTGACTTTGTAGCATCTCAAAAATCAAAATGGGATGCATTATACAATAAAAATCTGTTAGTGCTTAAGTTTGGATTTACTACGATTAAACTGGAGCCTGACATAAGTCTCCCCGGGGAGATAATTCTACCAGACGGAAGCTAAATGAGCCAAAGCTCAATACAGATATTTGCACGTTCTAATTAAAGAATCGGAAAAAAATGTAGTTAACCCTTGGGTGAATGTATCTCAACACTAGGAAGAACACAACTAAGTTAGGTTCAAAGCAACATCACCTTGACAAGGATTTAAGAACACTAACTTGCAGTTTCACGGTCAAGATAAGCAGCAGGCCTCATACCTGCCCAGCACCTGCAAACGTTCTTCATCCACAAGGGCGCTGTTATTAAACAGAAAAATCCTGGTGTAGCCGTGAAGCCATATTGAGGTATGGTTAACACCGTGTGGAAAAGCACAGGCGCGTCTCCTACACAGCGCCCACGTCTGTCACGAACGTAAGGCTTTGCAATCTCACTGGGCGCAAGCATTAGAACGCGGGGATCTGCACGCCCTCACGGAGGGAAAAGCCTCTGAACTGCCTAGAACAAAACGCAGGGAAGGCACCCCCTCAGCGCGCCCAGGGGCTCCGCAGCTTCAAGAATTTTCAAGAATATTCAGCTACCTTCTGCTTCGAGCAGCTTACCACCTGAAGCTCCGCCCGGCAGCGAGTCCCGCGGAATCATAGAATCATTAAGGTTGGAAGAGACCTCCAAGATCATCGAGTCCAACCATCAACCCAACACCCCCATGCCCACTAAACCATGTCCCTAAGCGCCTCATCTACACGTCTT